GCTCCCCGGCGCCGCAGCTGCGTGGGGCCGGCGGAGGTGACGCTCGGGAGCCCCGAGCCCCCCGAAGCGCTTCGATGCGTGGTCCTCGGCGTCGCCGTTTCCGTCCCGCCGGCCGCGAGACGTTTTGATGCTTTGTTTGCAAAGGGACCCCGGCAGCGGTTGCCTCGAGCGGGGCGGCCTCAGCCGCGAGGGATTGCTCTTTTCCAGATGAAGATGAATTTTGTGTTTGTTTGCTCTGGCAGTTTAGCTGAGTGTGCATTTCCACCTCCAGAACCCTCACACTGTGTATAAAAATGGATAAAAAAATATAATATATATTCTTGTGAATGTTGGTGCAAAAAGAGAAAAATATATAAAGTTTCAGTCGGTTTTATGTTATTTTTTATCTACATTTATGAAAGGAAGAAATGGAAAACATTTTTTTCCATTGACCACCCTCCACACACCTGTAGATACCGACAGGTTTACTGGAAATGTTTTACTTTTTAGATTTAGGAACATGCTTCTGTTCTCATTGAATGTTCTGTCTTGTAAGATTGTAATTTCTATTTTTTTAAAGAAAAGAAAATAACTAAATAAAATTTCCTCTTTTGGACCGGTCAGCTAGGAAGGGAGGGCAGGGGAGGGAGAAATGTTTATTTAAGGACAAAAGCGTTGTCTGAATTTTTCATGACATTAAATAAAAAGTAATATAATGTATGGACGAAAACCTTTTTATTGAGGTGTATTCTATAGGCATATAGATGTATATCGCACAAAATTTACAGGAAGAAAAATAAAATCTGTTTTACAAGTTTAAAAAAAAACATAATCACGTTGGAAATAGCAACTGTGAGTCCAGATTTTAGCAGAGGGGGAGGCTGGAAGCGAACCCTGCAAAGTCATGGGAAAACCTTTCCTTCCTGCAGCGGGACCGAGCTGTTCCGGAAGCCCCGACCCCGCGGGGGTTCGGACACGAGGCTGGGTTGGGGATGTTGTGAGGGATTACTGGGACACGGCCGGGACCGGGCTGGGAAGGATCCCGAGATCTGGGAAGGGGCTTCGTCGGGGAACGCGCGGGTCAGCCACCACCTGCTGTGGGCAGCGACCGCACCAGGGACGCATCGGTGCGGGGAGCACGGGGATTCGTTTTCAGACAGTACGCAGTCCTGGCTCTAAACTAAAAGAGGGCAGATTTAGACTGGATATTAGGAGGAAATTCTTCCCCATGAGGGTGGTGAGGCCCTGGCCCAGGCTGCCCAGAGGAGCTGTGGCTGCCCCCTCTCTGGCAGTGCTCAAGGCCAGGTTGGAGGACGGGGCCGGGAGCACCCGTGGCTGGTGGAAGGGGGCCCTGCCCATGGCAGGGAGCTTGGAATGGGATGATCTTTAAGGTCCCTTCCAGCCCAAACCATCCTATGATTCTATGATTCTATGATTCTACAGGCCCTGGATACCATAACAGTGAAGGACTCAGCTGCAAGGATTCCTCTCCATCCCGGCGCAGACGGTTTGGAGGTATCCCTGGGCGTTAAGTGTGCAAATCCCATCCTCGTTTCCCTCTGCTTCCCCTGAAAAACCTCGCCCGGGTGCTCGCTCCCTGCACCCCGGGCAGCTCCACAGCAGCTGCGTCCCGCGGCGGCGGCAGCCGAGCTGTGCGCGAGCGGCCG